TCACAGATACACACACTGTTACACACAAACTTACTTATGCACAGGCAGATACTTCTAGAAAATAGCCCCTATTTCAGCCAACAGCAACCAGAGAGGGAGGGCGCTTCTGAAAGGACGCTCTTTTTATCATATTCCCATCAGTTTTTGCCGGTTGCTAGGTGACCGGTGTCTAACCATGATTGAAGTTCTGGCAGTCTCTTCTGGTTAGGGGGCACCAAATGGTCCATGGACCAGTGCTTTGAGACCTCTGATCTATATAATGTACTAAAAACGGGGACATTTTCCATCCATGGTTTCCCTTTAAGCATCCACCACCCCTTCCACTCCACCATTTTTGGTCAGCCATCACTCCTCCATCTCAACATACAGGCCCGGACTGGCCATCGGGCATACCGGGCAAATGCCCGGTGGGCCGCGATGGCCAGCAGGGGAGATCACAGGATCTCCCTGGCCGGCCCATGCAGGGCTCGCGCTACCCGAGTGCCGGCCCTGCTGTGTGCTTCCATGGGCCGGTGGGGCAGTGGCATCGCTGGGGGCCCAGAGGGGGGGCCCCTACATCATGCTGTGCCCCCCTTGTGCCCCCCTAAATGCCAGCAACTTGCTGGCCATGTTCTTACATTCTATTCCCTTGTGCTGTAACAGTCAGTGACAGCCCGAGGGAATGCAGGACAGAGGAGCTGGAACAGTGCTGGGTGTTTTCAGCAGCTTCCCCGGCAAGGCCCACCCCCAAATTAAGCCCGTCTCCTGCACAAAAGGCTTTCCCCACGCCGTTAAGCAGCCGACCTTGCTGCTGGAAAGGCCAGAAGATGGCTGTCTGACCCCCAGCAACAGCTTCCAGTGACAGGTAGGCTTAATGTGCGTGTGTGTGTCTCTGCTAGCACCCTCAGACACACACACACTGCACCACCTACACACACTACATTCCTGACATACAAACTCTGGATCCCCTATGCACACACTACATTCTTTGTTAACAAACACATGCTACATTCTCTAAACACACTCTCTACAACCCTTACACACACTACAGCCGGTATGCACACACTCACTACATCCCCAATACACACTATGCCCCCTATACAAACACTCTCTACAACCCCTAGCACGATACGCTTTCCTGGCCCTCTGTTATCCCACTTATGGAGACAAGTGAAAAGCAGACCAAGTACAGGGCCTTTTTCTCATGCTAGAGCTCTTTAGCAGGGCTCTGTGCATTGAACTAACATGCTCACTTTGAGAATGGGTGTGCTTGTCCTTAGTGATGACAAAACACACCCTCTCTGGCCCCGCCCCCTTCTCAGGGGCTGTTTTGATTGAAAAATGCCCGGGCCGAATTTTTTTCCCAGTTCGGCTCTGTCAACATACTATTATGCTCCTCTCCTATACCTTAGTGCTGGAAGTAAGAGAGAGTTTCAGGGAGCCTAATGTTGGTGGTGGGAAAGTTAGGGAGGGGCTGATGCCTCATGGTGATGGAGGGAAGAGTGATGCCTACTGATGATTGCTGAGAGATGGGTTGAGAAAATGAGCAATGCTTTATGGTGATGTGAGAGGAAGGAGGATACAACCTCTCCCTCTTGTATCACCATTTAGGACCTCTCTCCCATATCCATTATGATTCACCCCCATCTCTCTTACATCACCATTAAGTGTCTCCCCATCACTACTCTACACCATTAGGCATCCATCATCCTCTCCCACCACTATTAGGCTCACCCGGGGCCGGCCTTAGGCCATTAGGCGACCTGTGCAAAAGGTCTTCACGCCCCACCCCCCACCAAGATGCCGGTATACAGTCACACACACAGGCACAGGCAGACAGTCAGACATGCTTAGTTTTAGGCATGCAGGCACTCTTGCACGCTGATAGGCACACACTCAGTTAAAGGCAGATAGTCACACATACAGGCACAGGTACACACAACAGCACAGCTACAGCGACACACACAGTTATAGTCACACAGTTACAGTCACACACAGGCAGAAAGTCACACACACACACAGGCAGAAAGTCACACACACACACAGGCAGACAGTCACACACACACACAGGCAGACAGTCACACACACAGGAGGGAGTCACACAGACAGTCACACACACTGTCAGACAGACAGTCACATAGGCAGTTGCACACACACACAGGCAGACAGTAACACGCACACACACACACACACAGGCAGACAGTCACACACACACACACACACACAGGCAGTCACACACACACAGGCAAACAGTCACACACAGGCAGACAGTCACACACACTGTCAGGCAGACAGTCACACAGGCAGTCACACACACAGGCAGACAGTAACACACACACACACACAGGGAGGCAGTCACGCAGACAATCACACACACACAAACAGGCAGACAGTTACACAGACAGTCACACACACACACACAGGCAAACAGTCACACAGGCAGTCAGACAGTCAGTCACACACACAGGCAGGCAGGCAGATAGTATCACACACACACACACATACATGCACACACAGGCAGGCAGGCAGTCACACAGACAGACAGTCACACAGTCACACACAGGCAGGCAAGCAGACAGTCACACACACACAGGCAGGCAGTGAGTCACACAGACAGACCGTCACACACAGGCAGGCAGTCACACACACACACACACAGAAGCAGGCAATCACGCAAACAGGCAAACAGTCACACACACGAAGGCAGTCATAGACACACAAAGAGGCAGGCAGTCACACAAACAGGCAAACAGTCACACTCAGGCAGGCAGTCACACAGACAATCACACACACACACACACACAGGCAGACAGTTACACAGACAGTCACACACACACACACACACACAGGCAAACAGTCACACACAGGCAGTCAGATAGTCAGTCACACACACAGGCAGGCAGGCAGACAGTATCACACACACACACACACATACATGCACACACAGGCAGGCAGCCACACAGGCAGGCAGGCAGTCACACAGACAGACAGCCACACAGTTACACACAGCCAGGCAAGCAGACAGTCAAACACACACACACACACACACACAGGCAGGCAGTCACACAGACAGACTGTCACACACAGGCAGGCAGGCAGGCAGTCACACACACACACACAGAAGCAGGCAATCACGCAAACAGTCATGCAGGCAGTCACACAAACACACACACACACAAAGAGGCAGGCAGTCACACAAACAGGCAAACAGTCACACTCAGACAGGCAGTCACAAACACACAGGCAGGCAGTCACACACACACAGGCAAACAGTCACACACAGGCAGACAGTCACACACACTGTCAGGCAGACAGTCACACAGGCAGTCACACACACAGGCAGACAGTAACACACACACACACACAGGGAGGCAGTCACGCAGACAATCACACACACACAAACAGGCAGACAGTTACACAGACAGTCACACACACACACACACACAGGCAAACAGTCACACAGGCAGTCAGACAGTCAGTCACACACACAGGCAGGCAGGCAGATAGTATCACACACACACACACATACATGCACACACAGGCAGGCAGGCAGTCACACAGACAGACAGTCACACAGTCACACACAGGCAGGCAAGCAGACAGTCACACACACACAGGCAGGCAGTGAGTCACACAGACAGACCGTCACACACAGGCAGGCAGTCACACACACACACACACACAGAAGCAGGCAATCACGCAAACAGGCAAACAGTCACACACACGAAGGCAGTCATACACACACAAAGAGGCAGGCAGTTACACAAACAGGCAAACAGTCACACTCAGGCAGGCAGTCACACAGGCAATCACACACACACACACAGGCAGACAGTTACACAGACAGTCACACACACACACACACACACACAGGCAAACAGTCACACACAGGCAGTCAGATAGTCAGTCACACACACAGGCAGGCAGGCAGACAGTATCACACACACACACACACATACATGCACACACAGGCAGGCAGCCACACAGGCAGGCAGGCAGTCACACAGACAGACAGCCACACAGTTAAACACAGCCAGGCAAGCAGACAGTCAAACACACACACACACACACAGGCAGGCAGTCACACAGACAGACTGTCACACACAGGCAGGCAGGCAGGCAGTCACAAACACACACACAGAAGCAGGCAATCACGCAAACAGTCACGCAGGCAGTCACACAAACACACACACACACAAAGAGGCAGGCAGTCACACAAACAGGCAAACAGTCACACTCAGACAGGTAGTCACAAACACACAGGCAGGCAGTCAGTCACACACACACACACACACACACACACACAGGCAGGCAGTCACACAAACAGGCAGTCACACACAGGCAGGCAGTCACACACACACACACACACACACACACACACACAGACTTACCTCTTTCCATTATGGCTGGAAGGAGGAGTGGATGCAGTTCCTGTACAGCAGTTACCAGGGGGCTTCTGGTATTTATTAGCTCCGCCTCCACCGCTCATTAAGACCCGCCCAGCTGCTCATTAAGCCCCGCCCCGTCACCTCATTTTAATTTTTTTATAGACTCTGGTGGAGAATAATTAATCCTCCACCCGGGTACCTGTTTTAGCTCCCTTGACACCGGCCATGTGCGAGCTGTGTCGGCAACAGGGCACCCCCTACTCCGGCTGCACAACTCGCACACCCCTAAGACCGGCCCTGGGCTCACCCCTGTATCTCCCATTTATAGGAGAGATATACTTGGACAAATGATGAGAATTCTTGGTGGTGGAAGATGAAGGGAGTTGCCTAATGGTGATAGGAGAGGGAACATGCCTAAAAATCATGGGAAAGGAATGGAGTTGACACCTTATGGTAATGAGACATGGAAGAGGTTTATACCTAATGGTGATAGAAGAAGGAGAAGGGCTACGCCTAATGATGGTTCAAGAGGGATGGGGTAAGACCTAATTATGGTGTATAAGGACACTCTGTTAGGTATCATCCCACGCCCTCTTCCATCACTATTAGTCATCACTCCTCTAGCTCCCATCACCATTATCACCATATTGAGACAGGACAGGATCAAGTGGGCAAGAGGTGGCTGCACTTCTCCTTTCCTCTCGCCCCACCACTTGCCCACTTGATCCTGTCCTGTCTCACCTTATCAGATCTCTCTCCTCTTGTCTTGTGCTTTCCTTAACACACATCTTCAACTGCTCTCTCTCTTCTGGCGTTGTCCCTGCTGCCCTTAAACATGCTACTGTAGTACCCATCTTAAAAAACCCATCTCTTGACCCATCCTCCCCTTCTAACTATCGTCCCATATCCCTGCTCCCTTTTTCCTCAAAGCTTCTGGAAAGACTTGTCTTTACCCATCTGACTTGTTTCCGCAGTTCCAAATTCCTTGACCCTTTTCAGTCTGGCTTTCGCCCCCTCCACTCTACTGAGACTGCTCTTCTTAAAGTCACTAACAACCTAATCACAGCTAAATCCAAAGGGCACTATTCCATGCTAATTCTTCTTGACCTCATCCAGTGTTACCAAATCCTGTAGATTTCACCTTAAAAACATAGCCCCTTTCTTAGGCAAGATACTACTAAAGAGCTTGTCCATGCTCTAGTAGTCTTTCGCATGGCTTATTGTAACTCTCTCCTAATAGGTCTTCGCACAAGTCGTATTGCCCTGCTGCAGTATGTAATGAATGTAACAGCTAGACTGATTTTCCTCTCTTGTCGCTCCTCTCACACCTCTCCCTTCTGTCAGTCTTTACATTGGCTTCCTTTATCTTATAGGAGTCAATTCAAGGTATTAATCCACACCTATAAAGCACTGACCAATTCCATCCCCTCCTATATCTCTTCAGTGATCCGCAGGTATGCCCCGTCTCGGTCTCTCCGTTATGCCAATGACCCTCTCCTGTCCATTGCTTGCACCCATACGGCCAACTCACACTTGCAGAATTTCTCGTGGGTGGCTCCTTTCCTTTGGAATAGCCTGCCTACGATCATCAAGCTCTCTCCTAGTCTACAATCATTTAAAAAGTGCCTCAAAATCCATCTCTTGAGGAAAGTTTATGGCCTCCCAGAGTAACCTCTACCTCACATACCTGTCCCTTGCTCTCTCCTAAAGGGCAGCACTCTATTCTCTCCTCCAGCTCTGCTTAACTCCACCTTGTTTGATTGTTACCTCCTGACCTGTTGTGTTTTACGCCCAACCTCCTATAGACTGTAAGCTCGTTTGAGCAGGGCCCTCTTCAACCTATTATTCCTAATATTAGGCTAGCCTCTCTCTGTCCTACATTTAGCAGCATGAGCAGTCATTCTCACCTCCTCTTGCCATCTATATAACCATATAGCAGTCTCCAGCAAAAGGTCACAGCTGGCATCTTTTAATCTTGCCTGCTCTGTCTGCTGGATAGCAAGTATGCAGATGGATCACATGGAGTTAGCTGTCCAGCTGTGTGAACCTGCAGCCAGTCCTGGAAGCTGAGAATCCATTCTGTGATTTTATGGACAGGGAAGACCATGACATATGCCTCCTTCAAGATGCAAGGGACATACATTATTTTACAGGGACATTACAATATTTGTAATAATAAAAATTAGCTTGTATTTTTCTCATGCTCTCCCCCCACACACACACCGGAATGCCCTACCTAGGCTATTTGCAAACAGTGTCAGCCACCTGATGCCCCTGTTACCATGGAATCCTGTGCGGCCGTACAGCTACGGACCTAAAATATGCATTGGTTGGTGGCCTGGCCTGTCAATGTTCTCTTTGCTTGCACTGATCCACTGGGATATTTCTGTGTGGACTGTGATATTTGAGGCTGCTAGGTGATCATGAGTTTCTTTGATGTCCCTAAAGGTGTTTGCCAGTGATCACATGATGAAATGAGTGATCAGTGATCATGACATTTGTAACATATGCCTATTGACACTAGTGACAATGGACAGAGTTTGTGACTCAAAGGCATGAACAGCTTTCTGTGAGTGTTCCGTTATTCTGCTCAGGTCAATGGTCATACTGTTACAGGGATAAATGATGGCACACATTGCAACTCCAGCAGACTCCATCTATCAAATATACATATACAGGTGATACTCGAAAAATTTGAATATCGTGCAAAAGTTATTTTTCTTCAGTAATGCAACGTAAAAGGGGAAACTAATATATGAGATAGACGCATTACATGCAAAGCAAGATAGTTCAAGCCGTGATTTGTCATAAGTGCGATGATTGTGGCTTACAGCTCATGAAAACCCCAAATCCACAATCTCAGTAAATTAGAATATTGTGAAAAGGTGCAATATTCTAGGCTCACAGTGTCCCACTCTAATCCACTAAGTAAGCCATAACACGTGCAAAGGGTTTCTGAGCCTTTAAATGGTCTCTCAGTTTGGTTCAGTAGGAATCACAATCATGGGGAAGACTGCTGACCTGACAATTGTGTAGAAAACCATAATTGACACCCTCCATAAGGAGGGAAAGCCTCAAAAGGTAATTGCGAAGGAAGTTGGATGTTCCCAAAGTGCTGTATTAAAGCACGTTAATAGAAAGTTATGTTGAAGGGAAAAGTGTGGAAGAAAAAGGTGCACGAGCAGCAGGGATGACCGCAGCCTGGAGAGGATTGTCAGGAAAAGGCCATTCAAAAGTGTTGGGGACTTTCACAAGGAGTGGACTGAGGCTGGAGTCAGTGCATCAAGAGCCACCACACACAGATGGATCCTGGACATGGGTTCAGATGTCGTATTCCTCTTGTCAAGTCGTTCCTGAAGAACAAACAATGTCAGAAGCGTCTTACCTGGACTAAAGAAAAACAGAACTGGTCTTTTGCTCAGTGGTCCAAAGTCCTCTTTTCTGATGAGAGCAACTTTTGCATCTCATTTGGAAACCAAGGACCCAGAGTCTGGAGGAAGAATGGAGAGGCACACACTGCAAGATGCTTGAAGTCCAGTATGAAGTTTCCACAGTCTGTGTTGATTTGGGGAGCCATGTCATCTGCTGGCTTTGGTCCACTGTACTTCATTAAGTCCAGAGTCAATGCAGCCGTCTACCAGGAGATTTTGGAGCACTTCATGATTTCTTCTGCAGACGAGCTGAGTTCATTTTCCAGCAGGACTTGGCACCTGCCCACACTGCCAAAAGCACCAAAGCCTAGTTCAATGACCGTGGGATTACTGTGCTTGATTGGCCAGCAAACTCGCCTGACCTGACCCCGTAGAGAATCTATGGGGCATTGTCAAGAGAAAGATGAGACACATGAGACCGAACAATGCAGAAGAGCTGAAGGCCGCTATTGAAGCATCCTGGTCTTCCATAACACCTCAGCAGTGCCACAGGCTGATAGCTTCCATGCCACCCCGCATTGAGGCAGTAATTGCTGCAAAAGGGGCCCAAACCAAGTACAGAGTCCATATGCATGCTTATACTTTTCAGAGGTCCGATTTTGTTCTATGTGCACACTTTTATTGATTGCATGTAATATTTTAATTTACTGAGATTGCGGATTTGGGATTTTAATGAGCTGTAAGCCATAATCATCGCACTTATGACAAATCACGGCTTGAACTATCTTGCTTTGCATGTAATGCGTGTATCTTATATATTAGTTTCCCCTTTTACGTGGCATTACTGAAATAAATTAAGTTTTGCACAATATTCAAATTTTTCGAGTATCACCTGTATTACATGCTTCATGTGAGTATGACAACACACACTAAGATCTGTGAATTTTGTGGGAAAAAATTTGTTGGCACATGTCCTATGGTCAAGATGTGACCAGCCCTACCCTGTGTACATTTGCAGAAAGTGTGTTATCTCACATGACCCCATTTAACGATTTATTCTAACACAAGCATTTAGAACTTATGTATTGGAACAAGTCAACGTTTTCAGGGCTCCTAGTTCAGTTTTATAAGGGCTTAGATTTGTAAAAGATTCACATCAAGAATTTCTATGTTTGTTCTAGTAATCATATGCAGATTTACAAAGCCAACATTGAAAAAAGAAAAAAAAAAATGGTAATTTTGCCTGTTACTTGAAGGGTGAATAAAGACAAAAACATAAATGCACACAATCGCAGCACCAATTATTTTTTAACATCGGCCTCCCCTTAGTGCAGTATAGGTAGAAAGGCTCTGAGTGCCTCATTATTTCTGTAATTCAGTGTGTTAACAGAAGACATGAGCTATATCATACAAACATATTAAAGTTACCGAAATAACACATTTGTCATCCTTTTTTCTTAATTGCAGTAAAGAGAACCAGAAATAGCCCACATGATCGCTTGATAGCAAATTAAAGATGGCAGATTAAAGATGGAAACACAAAAAGGCATGGGAATAAAAACGCTGCATAGGCAAAATAAAAAAAATGAGCACAGTCGAATAATCAAGGTCCTTTAGAGGGGCCATCAGAATCTCTCAAACAATACGCACTATAAAAAGAAAACGTCATCTAATATTTTATAGTCGAGTTTCTAGCTTTATTATAGGAAGAATAAATGTATTAAATCGTAGATTGCTCCCATGGACCATTCGATTTTAAACTTGATATAGATATTTTAAGTGTGTATAAACTGAGGATACTGACGTTGACAAAATCCAGGTAACACAGTTTCATGCAGGACCAACAGAAAGATAATCATTAATTATGAAGTAGTATACAGTTCCCTGTAGTCTTGCATTTACCAGAAGGGGCATTTGACCTCAATATTAGCGATATCATTACAAGTTAAAGTGACTAACAATTGGATAGAAAAATACTATATAAACACTATGATTTCTTGTTGCTGGTTCGTTTTATAACTTATCTCTGTTTGAAAGTTAATTCCGTTTAGATATGCCAGAAGTACCCGGCATTTTTGTGGAGACCAAAGGTCTCAAAGCAGACATGATTTACCCTTTTTAGACAATCAGCAATACTCTGCCTAAATTTTATGTTACAACAACATAGAGTGGCTTTGAGTATTTAAAATAACTTTCTCCAAAATATGCTTCTAAATGTGAATTATTGATGACAATAGCAGGTGGCATCTTTGAAATGACATATACAGTTGCAATCAATACACTTTTATCTGTGCCACAATTCGTTTGCAGAACATAGAAACATAGAAACATAGAATGTGATGGCAGATAGAACCATTCGGCCCATCTAGTCTGCCCAATTTTCTAA